GTCTTGTCTCGGTCTCAGTAAGGTTGTAAGGTAATTGTTCTCGAGATAAGCCGAGTGTGATGCCTTTGACTGAGGTAATTAGAAACTGAACTTTTTCTAGCTTTAGTGAATATCAGCAAAAATTTGATGTAGTTCTGCTATCACACTTCAGAATCTGACCAAATGAATATGATCTTATAGAAGATAATAACGGTTAACTACATCATAAAACAAGTTAGTAACTGGTGGAATGATACAGTTATTATGAAAATTACAAATAGTTGTTATTACAAATAGCAGCATGGGTAGAACATGTCTCAATCAATCAGATTTGTCCATTGGGTATAACTGTTGTATATAGTGTAGTATATTTATGAGCCTTTGTTTAATTGTGTGTGTTTGTCCATGCATGCCTGTTTGTGAAGGTGATCAGAGTGCAGTGCCTCACACAGTTACGCTCCACACTCAGAGGAGGAACTGGCTCTATCTGAAGCTGAAAGAACAGGACCAGTTTGGAAACTACAGCTCACCTCACTACAAAGGCACAGCTACTCTCTACAGAATCCCCAGAGATCAGCTGGTCTGGAGAGGAGACAGAGCGGTCATATCTGAAGATTACAGCTTAGAGGACCCCGTCTGCAAGCTGTCACTCACTCTTCCAAAGGTGAAAGCACACTAAATGTCTTACTTCATGCTATTGTACATATCAGGACTGTAATAAGGTGGTGATAGCATATTCTACACGGGAAGAGGTACAATGTCTGCAGTAATAAAGCTTATTACACCAACACAATTTTGTCTTTTTGACTTTTCTCAGTAACTGTATTGATGTAATATATTTCAGTCATATGAATGAAGTAAAATCAATGCCTTACTTTATCAGTCTACTTCATACAAGAGATAGCTAACACTGTGCCTGATCAAGAAGACACATCCAAAACTGTTGACATTTATTTCGTCTAATCCAGGCTGTGATTAGTCTGCTTATATTTTCCCTTGGGCTGAATTTAAGTGTCCCTGACGATTACATTGCACATTACACGGAATGTTTGGTTATGATAAAGATTTCTGTCATTCTTCTTCTTCAGACTGTGAAAACTCTGTCTCGACCAGTGAGTGCAAAAGTCTTACGGCATGATCAGACAGGTAAAGTACAATTAATCAAAATCCACCCTCTGTCTCTCTCTTTCTCCTTCTCCACCTCCTTCCTTCTCTCTCTCCCTCTCTTACTCTCTTTTTCTCCTTCTCCACTTCCTTCCTTCTCTCTCTCTCACTCTCCTTTTTGCGCTCCCTTTCTCTCCCTCTTTCTCTCTCTTTTTTCTCTGCTGTTCTTTTTTCTTTCTTTCTTTCTTTCTTTCTTTCTTTCTTTCTTTCTCTCCATCTCTCTCAATCTCTTTCCTTCTCTCTTCCTCCCTCTTTCCTTCTCTCCCTGTTTCTATCTATCTATCTATCTATCTTTCTATCTATCTATCTATCTATCTATCTATCTATCTATCTATCTATCTATCTATCTATCCCTTTCCCCTTCTCCCTCTCTCATTCCTTCTTTCTTTCCTTCTCGTTCTCTCGCTCTCTCTTTATCTATCTTCTCCTCTCCCCTCCCTCTCTGCCACCATACCTCCCTCTGTCCCCACCCCTTTCTCTCTCTCTTTCTTTCTTTCTCTCTGTCTTTATGTATCTAGTATCTTTCCTTCTCTCCTCTCCCTCTTTCCCACCCTGCTTCCCTCCTTCCCTTGCTCTCTCTATCCTTCCTTCTCTCTCTCTCTCTCTCTCTCTCTCTCTCATCTCCTTACCCTCTGCCTCCATCACCAGAACCACTCTGTGATGAGCTGTTAGCCTGGCTCTGTGGCGAGCTGTCCGAAGAAGATGCAGCACTGCTGGTCATGTGCCTCCGTCTGCGCCGTTCGACTATCCAGCTGGCCCGACTCCGAGCCCCAGACAGCTTCTCTCAGCAGACCTTCCACATCCTGGCCACCTGGAGACGAGCCCTGCCCTCATCCACACCAAAACTCCCTTTACTGGCCCGCTGCCTGACCCGCATCGGCAGACCAGAGTTGGCTGCAGAGCTCCTAAGGAGAGGTTTGGTTGAGGATGAAGGAGAGAAGTGCACAACCCTGGAGATTAATCACACTGGAGGGATCTGTAACAGGCCATGACACTCCATTAAATTAAGAAAGGAATGAGATTCAGTGATGTTCAGTAATGTCAGCACGTTAGTCTACATACTCACCTATAAAGTAATGATGTAGATAACTGCAGAAGTTTATATGGTACAGTCCAGTTGCACATGAGCCTAAGGTCACCAATGATAATACTATTGCAGCACACACCATCCAATTCACCCCATTTCAATAAGAACAGCAAAATCCTATGAGTTGTAATGTAATGTAATATTATATATATTATATATATTGTGTGTAGTATATATATATATATATATATATATATATATATATATATATATATAACAGTACCTGACCTCACTAATGCTCCTGTGGCTGAATGCAGTCAGATCCTCACAGCAATGTTCCACCATGTAGTGCTCTTCTCAGAAGCGTAGACTCTGTTACTGCAGCGAAGAGGGACAACCCCCTATTAACACCGTTGATGTCAGAAGAACTGTTGAGCGAGCAGATATCTACAAGTTTTTGGACAGTTATTGCACATGAATGGGTGAAATGTGGATTTGTTTTGCTGTGAGAGACAAATATGTTGTTTTCGGTATGTTATTAAACAGACTTCTCTGAACTAAAACGTGCAAGGACTACAATTTGATGCCCTACATGAAGTTACGCTATTAGTCCAGCAGATGGCGGTGTTACTGCGTTAAATGCGGGAAAATAAATACGGCGTAAAAAAGATCAGACTAGAGTTGGTGTTTATTCCACAGTGAAACGCTTCTCATCTAAAATCCGTGTAGTCTACGGTTATAAGAATCAGGAATGAAATGCACACATTCAGGGGTCAGCCAGTTCCTCTAGTGGACCCACAGACCCACGCAGTGCGCACGCGCGCCGCACCACTCCGCCATCCGCGTGACTTTGTGGGCGTTGGACAGACCGATGACGTCACCGGACGCCAGCTCCCGAGGCACGAGGATCCATGCATGCACGTACTGTTGGGCTACCGTAAATACCTGACTGAACTGGAGAGAGTGACATTGTCACGTCTCAGGACGCTCGACCCAGCGCTTTGAAAAGGTGGCTTTTCAAGGGTTCTTTAGTGAAGCCAGTGGCACTATTTAGAACCAAGAGTTGTATATAGAGCAATTTCATGCTTAGATTGTTCTTTGCATGGTGAAATGGTTCTTTCGATTGATGGAGAATGTGTTGTTTATGGCTCTATATAGTTTCAAAACGGGTTATTGGTGATATATAGAACCATTTTCAAGTTTCTATATAGAACCATGTACAACACACTCTACATGGATCTGTAGAACAGTTTCAGTTCAGCCTGTTATTTGAGTGTATGTGCTGAATAGGAATAGCTGTTTTTGACTGATGTGACATCATCATGTAAAAACCAACTATTGTTCGTATACCTATTCAGCCTGCAGCAGTTTAGCCCCAGCCATTTATAATCAGGTTACAAGGAGTAACTATGTGGACTGCTTTGTGAATGAGGTACAACACTGGGCAGCCAATCAGATCAGAGCTCATTTACATATATCAGTCTCAAAGGCACAGTAACAAAAAACAGACTGATTAATTCTAAAGGATAGAGACAGGTTGGAAAATGATCGTGTAAAAATGAATTGTGACTGTTTTCTGGTACATAAACCTGCATAAATGTTGTAAGTTGACCTCAGGAGAAAAAATAAAACTAGAAGGAAAATGTGGGATCTAGGCACTTTTAGGTTGTAGTTGTATAGGTTTGTTAAGCTTTATTTAATTGCTTTTTCTTTGGTTTTAAAAATAAAAATAATATATTAGCGTGTAATCTTATATCAGCTTCTGATAATGGGTCATTGATAATGCATTTTGATGTGAAAGTAGCATCCCACTTTATATCTCCAACTGTCGCACTGCCCCTAAGAGATGAGAAGGGTCAGGTCATCTTTACGCAGACCCAGCGCACTGTTGCATACATTGAGAATGATGCCCACATTTATCCAACACTATAATTTGTAATTTGATTCTAATATTACTTTTTATTGTCTGATGAGTTGTGACTTTTTATAACCAGCATAACACAACCCAGAGCTAAAGCAGTTACAAAAACACAGATTTAAAGGGCCCATGTTATGGAAAACCAATTTTCAGCTTTTTTTAAAATCAAATAGTTCAATCAAGTATGTAAACATTATTAATGTTTCAAAATGTGCCTTCCCACTCACTTCCCAGTCAGAAAGTGTGTTACAAAAACAGCCCATTTTAAAATCACTGTTTTTGTGATGTCATATGTGGCAACACATTTACATCTGCCATTTCAGGTAAACCCCACACATTATGCGTTATTATACATAAGTGCATCAGCCTGGACTGGTTTCTGATTGAGAACAAGGCAGCCAAAGTAAACAGGACTCATATGCATATATCATACCTCATAGTAACAAACACAGCCTGTTTACTTCTATGGCATAAAGAGAAGTTGGTGGTTTGAAAATGGTCATGTTGTGTATTATGACTGTTTTTGCTGCATCAAACTAAAAAATAAACGCTTGAAAATTCTACGAAAAATATAGGATATTGGTCCTTTAAATAACAATAAGGTCACCTGAGCTGCTGGTGAGGGTTTTCACGACCTGTAGTGATGCTGGCCTATAGGTGTGTCCCACTTTACCCCTCACTGGTTCCTACGGCTCCTGTATTAGGAACACACCGGCCTCCAGTCGGACTCAAACAACAAGCGCGCATTACGTATTCTGTGGAGCAGCCACGCTGCAACGTGACCGCCGAGACGCGTGCGCCGAGCTGCTCCTCGGCCAGCCAATGAGCGACGGTCTGGGCGTGAATAGGCTGGAATTCGAGAACGCGGGCGGCCAATGGGAGTCGCGTATGCATGTAGCCTGGAGACAGATGCAGAAGCACGTGTAGTTGTGCGTGTGCCGTAGCATGGGGAAGCGAGAGCATAATAACGACTCAGTGACGAGACAGAAAGAGCGAGAGATGCACGACAAAACCGAGGAGAACCTCAGCTACATGTTGGAAACCGAACATTTCAAAATCAGTTCCGAGGTGGCGAACGATAAGAAAAAGCGAGTGTTGGTGTGTGTGAGCGTTTAGGAGCGGGGAGCTGTGTTCGTTTAAGGAGGTAAGGCTAACGCTATCGTTTACTAGGCTGAGAGGTCTGTCCGCTGTGATGTAACGCTGATGTTTTAGCCTAACGTCGTGTTAACGCTTTTGAAAAGCTTATGGCCAGTTAGCTGCAGTAAAGCTACGGTTTTGTAGTATAATCGTAGTTAAAGGTCTGCTAAAGGGCTGTGCACGTAGGACGTGTAGCATAGACAGTTTCAGTTCTAGACAGCGCCTTGGGTCGGGTCCTGTGGCAGGGCTCGGGTGGCTGCTGTGGGTTTGCACGTTTACGCCTTAAATGAATATCAGTGCAGGGTGCCTGTCGTTTCATGAATGCAGGTGATGCTTAAAGCTTACCCAGTCAACCAAAATGCTGTTAAATGATTAAGAAGAGTCACATTAGCTTAATTTATTACTCTTTTCTTTACGTTTACATCACATTAGAGCACTGACTTAGATTGCGTTTAGGGTTTACTGACTACAGGAGTGGCCTATTGCACAACAACATGGCCCTATGAGAGCTCTTCTACAAGCCCAGTGTACGTAGAAAACAAGTGGGACAAACAGTGTATAACTGGCTTAGATCATGTTTATTAGCTGAAGGAAGTATTTGTTTCTTTCCTTATTTGTTTATTGATGAAGTGGTTGAATGATGAATCTGATGAGCAAAGATATTCTATGGTTTTATCACTGCATATCCAGTATATAGAGACAAGGCCATCCTAGATTATGTTCAGGTGAATGCAGGGGAGCACGTAGCAAAATTTGTGTTGATTTAACGCCTATAGTGTTAATTTAAGTCCACTTCAGCACAAATGAACACTTGTAAGTGTTAATTTACAAATAATTGATTTGGCTGTGGTTCTAAGTAACTACACCTGCAGCACATGCATGGTGATCAACACTCAAACTCATCTAGTCAATAATGTTTAATATTGGATTGCTAACAGCGTGCGTGTTTGGGCATAATGTATAGTGGACAAGGAGGACCACCTGTGAATCACGTGAGTGTATATGGATGGATATTTCCAGATGGGGGCAGCCTGCAGGAGCCATGGGTTATAAACTCAGGCCAAACAGAGAAAAACAGGAAAATATCTCATGTCTTTAGTATGTAGAAGAGGAAAGTACCTTAAAGTTGATTGGATTCATTGAGAATGTGCCTCATTTGGCATCAAACCGTGTTTTACCACAGTGACCTGGTCAAACCCCAGACAGGTTACTTCCTTTGAAAGTGTCTTGCTTTTTTGTGATCATGAGTGAAATTTGATATGCAATTCATATGCAATGTGAAAACAAAAGTATGACAGGCTTTAGTGATTTCAGCACATACGGTTGAGATCGTGACATGGTATGCATGGCATGTGCAGAGCCAATTTTTTTGTCTTGTTCTTGTGAAGCGGTCACTTTTCCTCTTTACACAGGTGCATCAGAGGTCCATTCACGGTCAATTTGACCCAAACTGAATGAGACATGCGTCATGTACCGCATGTCTGCTTTGCTGACCTCAAGTTTAAGGTTCATCTGTACCTTTCAAGCCTGACCTCCTTTTTGTCCAAGGACTAAGTTTGCATTTATGGACAAAGGGTTAAACTATTTCAGCTGGTTACTAAAATGAGCTAAAGTGTCTTAGTCTTTATAATATTAAGATGTCATGAAAAGAATGTGTGGAAATGTGGTCAGTAATAACTTTTACCGTTGCCTAATGTGTCTTTGTAATGAAGTAATTTGCTGTAAGCGTCCTTCAGGCTTGTTGTAGCAGAAGATGCATTATTCATCTGCAGTTGATTTTCATCTGCAGTTTTTGTGACTGAAAAGCCATGTTTTATTCATACACATAGATGAAGTAGCTTGACAGTGTGATAAATGCATAAAGAAGAAGACAGTAAGATCCTACTTTTTATTTGGTTTACAACTCTAATTGGGGCCTTAAAGTGAGGAGAAAGACTTTCAACTGAATAATGGCAAAAAGTATTTGTTCATATTAGATAATGACATATAATCTTTACCCAAATGTGATATATGTGCATTTGAAACCCTGATAGAATTGCATTTTTTGTAGTAAGCTCAAGGCTTTCTGCCAAAGTACACACATAATAGAAGTTCTAATACAGTTCTTCAGAACAACTTATGAACCTACCTAGTGATGACTGTGGCAATTGTCTTAATAGCACTAACTTGCTACAACTACAGACCACTGTGCATTTCTAAATGGCTGCACAATAAAAGTTCAGCACAGCCATGATGCCATGCAGACACCTAATTAATCTAATGTGCCCTGATTGGTTTCATTAAACCTTGCAGTTAGTGCTCTGAATAGTAGTTTTTTTCTGATAAGAGCCTGAAATTTATCCACACTTAAATATATTAATGTTGTTAATTGTTTATTATTTATACCTGGCACAATCATCATATGCCACATTACACAGTACTGTGCAAATTCAGAGATCACCCATTCATTTATTTATTTAATTTCCAGTCAAAATGGCCATTAAGTACAAGCTATTCATTTTTCAGGACACATTCTAGAGGAGTTTATATATATGATGATCCACTTACATAAAGAAGACAGAAGCCAAAGAAAAGTACGTTTAAAAAGTTTTAAAAACTGGAGTTCATAGGTTTCAAAATATAGACAAAATGAGACTCCTAACAACTATACAAGACCTGGTAGACCACCAAAACTACCAACATCAGATAAACTGTGCTTAAAGACGTATTTTTGATTACTTAAATTGTGAAAAGCAGAAAATGCAACCAACTTTTAAGACTAAACTTTGGAAAAATGTGGAAAAATATCCCTGCATTTTTTTTTAGAAAAACTGGAAGCAAGTGTCTCAAAAAGGATAAACTCTGTCATAAAAACATAGGGAGACACACTAAATACTGAAACTGATTCTGCTCAATTTCATTGAATCGAAATGTGTGGCATAAGTACATTACCTTCATACTAGGTTTAATTTTTTTTTTAATTTGTGTGTTTTGTCTGATAGGGATATATAACTAGGCAGATTCCAAGTGGGTGTGTGCTAACCCAGTTCACAGCTGTTTGAACAGGTCAATCCAGGAGCTTAATTAATAGCTCTGAGAAATTAAGGCTAACTGTCTTAAATGTGCCGTACATGGACTGATACGCATTTGTGTGCAGTTCTCCCATATGGACGCTGAGCTGTCCTACTTCTGCAGCTGTCATATGGCTGTTGCAAAGTTGAGCAATGAGTTGAGGAGCTGGTTTAGACATGTTGCCAAGTTATCTTCTTACCATTGACCCCATTCCAGTTCGGGTTGGTGGCCCTGACTAGTGCAGATATTATAGGGGCTACAGAGAGCTGAGTAGAGGTCAGCGAAAAAGCGAAGGACATAAAGGAACTACACTGTGTGTCCAAAAGTATCCAAACACCCCTTCTAATTAGTGAATTCACTTACTTTTACATGCAGCCACTGTTGATACAGAGGTTCTGTTAGTACACCCAAATTCTGTGTAGTGTCCACAGAAAAGCATTGCTAATGGAATGGGATGTTTTGGAGCGAATTCACATGAGCCTAAGGTTACCAAGCACAATGCCAAGCATCAGCCAGAGGGGTATAAACCTCATGTTCTATAGCTCTGATTCTGTCTTGTCTTGTTGATAGAGGTGAATGAATCACCAGGCTTTAGAAGTGTAGTGTAAAAAGTAGGGTAAAAGTTCTGCTGCAGGCAATTAAATGAGACCCTCTAAATGGACAAAGTGAGCACGCTTAGAGATGAGTCAGATCATTGTGAAGATTAATCATTGGGGACCATTATAGCACACTTTTTACTGTTGAGAGGAGATCCAAAAGGCTGTTGTTTTCTTCAGTGGGTCCCAGCTGTGTCATACTGATAATTGAGTTGATTCATTGTTTAGTAAGAGACTGTCTTCTGCAGTAGAGGATCTGTGTGAAGTGCCTTACCTGAGAACAAGTGGAAGATACAAAAAATAGTTGGACTCTGTTAAAAAACATATTATAAAGCCTTCCATTTGTGATCTCAGTCATTATTCAGAGTTCTGCAATGCTTGATTGACATAAACTATCTGCAAAACAATAGAAAGGATTGGAATAGGTTGGTTTGGATGTAGAATAATATTTGAGTTGTTGCACCCAAAGAAAGGGATCAACATATTTCTCCATATGCCAGTTCTATGCTGCTGCAAGTCTAAACCATTTCAATGAGAGTTCTTGGAAATCACATGGGAAGTGGTTATTATGTGAAATCTCAATGATGATCCCATTAGTAATCACTCTGATCAGTGGGTTGCCCAGATCTATTACTCTTATCTTCTCCACTTCACTCACATTTCTTTATTCAAAAAGTAAACCAATTTGATGCCAGATAAACATGCTATTAATGTGCACATGAAATAGGCATGATGCAATGATGCTGCACTACTTAAAGGGGAATCCGTTTGATTTTTCAACATTTTTGCATAATTCCATCATTGCAATTTAAACAAAGTCATTCAGAGTAGTTTGACGCATAATGGTCCCTTGTAGAAAAAGTTAGAGACTCAGATTTCATTACGGTGGTAGTGATAGGGGCCCAAATATAGACATTTTATTTGTTTTACAAAACCACCAGTGAACCTACATGTGTCTTCTTTTATATGTAATGTTTATGATGGTAAAATAGTGGAAAATCTGAAAACAATGAGTTTTTTGGGGGGTCTGTTTTGCCTTAATATGCCCTTCATGTAGCCCTCTGCCATAAAGAAATTTACAAGACACTTTAGGCCAAAACCCTATCACAAAACTTGGTCTGGTTCTTATCACCACCCCTGTGAACAATTCTGACTTTGCAAGTTTCTCTGGAGCAAAAGCATTTCACACCAAACCACTCTGCACGACTTTGTTTACATCTTAACCATTTAATTATGTAGAAATTTTGAAAAATTAGTGGCTTTCCCCTTTAATGAGGTCTGTGTTTCTTAGCGCTTGGAGACTTTATGGAGACTTGACATTTACATATATGTTTTCTCACATAATGCCAAACTTGAGTCC